TCCATACTAGATTAGTCGATTTGATACAACACACAGTAATATAATATTATTTACTAGATGATTTCAAGCAGAATTTATTGCTCATAATCATGTATAATCATGAACTAGTATTAAATTCAGTGGATATCTTCCTTCTGAACAAGTCCAAGCACAAAGTCTATTTTTATACTAAAGCATAAGAATTTAAAAAAAAAAAAAAAAAAAGTGAAGAACCTAATAAATAATAACAACATGAATATCGCTAAATCTAACAAGATTGATTCAACAGTATTTATTAACAAATTCACTTACTTCTCAAAAACTGTTAATTAACCCTTCCAAACGAGTTCATGTGATGAGATTAAAAAGCCTGTTATAGATGTTATAAAACTAAGAAATCAACAGTCGATTTAATAAGCCGAAATAAGCCATCTCCGTGTGAGTTATACAGTCTTTTTTTAATGGGTAAAGTTTGTTGTTTACCTGTCTTTAAAAAAAAAGGTGATAAATTCTGCTCATAACGTCATCATCTAGTAAGTAATACTATGTAATTGTGTGCTATATCAAATAGACTAATTTAATATGGAATAGTTATGACACATTTTAACACAAATATCAAAATGCAGTTTCGTATATATCCAACAATATCGAAAAATATCAATAAGTATTTATATCAATTTACTGCAGATACTCTCTATGACAGTAGAACAGTTTCATATTTTTAAAAAACGATGAAGAGATTTTTTCATTTCAAAAATACTTTCATAACTATTTCGATTTCATTTGAAGAGATAAAGTGAATATATTGCATCTTGGTTATAATTATCAACCATGACGGTCAGAACGAGCTTGAAAGCGACCAAGTAAGTGCCGATTTTTATTAATTTCTGCTATCCAACTGTGCTACAAGACTTCAAGAATTCTAATAATAGTTATTACATTTAATAATACGGTATTACATTATTATTCATTATATGTGCATCCAGTTGGAATGAGGAATAAAATATTGAGGAGACCAATTTCAGTTGGTCTTCAGTTCCCTATTAACTAATCAAATTTTGAAAGGTATACTGACATCTACTTCTCAAATGTGGCTAAAGTTCACAAGGCTACATTTAATTTAAAGTGGAAATCTATAACAATTCCGGATGATTTATATCCAATTATTTTTGAAGATGGTAAACTGATTGGATCATTAAACGATTGTATGATTCAGGCTTGGATTATTGATCCTCTCAGTTTACAATCAGGTATTCCTTGATGATAAGGATAGGAAATATCTAAAAGAAAATTGCAGCTCGAGGTCAGTGGGCCCAGTGAAATAAAAGAGGTTACAGTCTGGTCGGCATACATGATCCATATTGTCCATTTTTCAATTTTAGTAAATGTTTCCCTTCACAAGAGACGAAAAGTTACTTATCAAAATCTACAAACTCGAGGGATTTACGTCAGCCGTCTACGAATACCTGTATACAATATCAGGTGCCCCGAACGTTATCATGTATATAATACTGTTTCACTGTGACAAATTTAATAGACAAACTTAAATGAAATCAGAAAAATAGAATGATCTTCACAGTCGAAGAAGCAAAATCGGAATGCACTCAACATATACATGCACGTCTGTGCAGTAGGCAATGAGCAATACCTATTGTGTCGATGTTAATGATACTTTCTGCCTGCGCAGGTCTCGATAGGTTGAGTATGGTTCAAATCCATGATACATAGGTCGGAAGTCGAGTATCTAGACAAATGAACCACAGCTCCACAATCTCCCCAGAAGAGTGTAAAAAACTGTTATTTTACTTTATTACGTGTATAATAATCAATAACACGTATAATAGTTACTTTAATAATACTTTAAAAGTGGTACAAAGAGAAGGGAAGACTTCGATCAATATGTACACTATTTATTTGAATGAAGAAGTAAAACAAAGTCATCAAAGATCAACTCACAAATTTAAAGTAGTTCATTATTAAAGAATAAATTTACGTGTATCGCATTTAGCAATGTATAAAAGGAGGGAGAAAATACACAGATGTATCAATACAAACCAAGTGCACATTTTTACATATAAAAATCTAATGCAAGCAGTAGAAGAAAATGAGTTAATTTATCGTAATTTCTTCCTTACTGAGAAATCCTTTATCTGTATCGAAATAACTTTACTCTTTGATTAAAGCAACAACTTAATCGCTGGGTAGTCAGTTGAATCAAGGAATGTATTCAAAATAGAAAATAACTACATTGAAAATTTCTAATGAGAATTTCAAACGGCAGTATTCATTAGTGGAGGATACAAACAGAATTACAGATATCATGATGAAATAAGCATGTATATATATATATATATATATATATATATATATATATATATATATATATATA